CAAAGCTTTGGCGAAGCCGTTATTTCGCTCTGCGGGCAGCTCCAGGACAGGTCAGGCCGAAGCTCCAAAGGGCACGCCAAAAGCGGAGCTGTTGGCGTCAAAGAGAAGGCACCATATTGTCTCGGAGATTGTAGGCAATACACGCATGTCGCAAGACCCATTCCTGCGAGATGCGCCGACGGAGCGGACACCAGCGAGGATACCCGGTCTGAAGAGGAAACGGGACCTAAAAGTTGAGAATCCAAAGACGATTGAAGACAGGCCGAAATTGCCGCCTTCCAAAGCTCTAGTGAGCTACGATTCAGACTCGAGTTGAAGTAACCCCCCACGTTTTACGACATGGCGTTTTGAGAGAGGCACACTTTGTGATACCCAGGGATTTGAGTATTGTCTATATACGGTTTGGGATGACAATGCATCAGGATATTATTCGACTCGTCGCGTGCCTTCTACACTCACAAAAAAAAAAAAAAAAAAAGAAAAAAAAAAAAAAAAGGAAGCTTTTTCCCTTGCCCCGCANAAAAAAAAAAAAAAAAAAAGGAAAACAAAAAGAAAGTGAAGCTTGTTCGCTTGCCGCGCAACGCTGACCACAGTATTCAAGTAGCACAGTCGCTGTGCAGATATACAAATGCCCCAGACCTTCTGAGCCACGGTACTTGTGACGGCTAGTTTCGATCAGTATATAATCATTGGCAACTATGGGAGGCTCCTGATGGAATGGACCCTATTGTTCGAATGTCGACCAAAGATCCAGTCCGAGGAGGCATTGAGCATAACCCCAGTCTCCGCCGGCCAACCATTGTCGTCTTCTTGAGGCATGTCTCTCATAATTCAGCTCGTCCTGTGTTGTTGCAAACTCCGAAAATGATCCCATACATGCCTTCCTTATCCATAAACGCAAAGAAAATGCTCCCAGCTGCTGACCCCTGGTCGTAGAGGTGTTGCAAAGAGCGGGAGTACAAAATGCAAGACCAATCGAGCCCGGGGAATATAAGTGTCCATCGACGCCAGTTCCATGAATGCTTCTAACAGAGTTCTCGAAGATCATTGCGTTCATACGTCGTCGAGGCGGCCGGCAGGCTCCTCGTCATCATCCCCAAAACTGCCAACTGAGGACATGGCGTCGTCGGATTCGCTTTCGCCATCCTTCTCATCGGCGGCATCTTTGCTCGCGTACTTTTGCACATACTCTGCACTATTGTCAGCGATAATTCTTGTCAAGCTTCGTGCGCCTGCCTGCGCCGATGTTACGCACCCTTTACTTTGGCGTCATAGCTCTTGGGTTCCCTAATCATCAAGGCGGCCGCCTCACCATTCAGGGGGTCTGTCGGGTTCGGGTATCGCAAGAGTTGGGGAAGGAAGACCTCGAAGATGTTGATCATGTCGAACATGGGCGACCAGGTCTGGTTAATAACGTCCAAGCAGACGGAACCCGACCTATATAGTATCCCCCATCAGTTCCTCGCTCCGGATGTAACCCAGGACGGTGTCCATCTCTTATGAAAGTTCCCATGACTCACAGCTCGTCGATGTTTGGGTGGAAGATACGGTTTACGAAGCCGATACTAGGCGACTTGTATGGGTACTGATCGGGGAGCTCGACGTGGACCTTCCAGACGCCGCCTTCGAACGGGGCTACGCTTGATTAGCTTGACTACGTAATGTCTGGGAATCGCGCATACTGACTCTCGGCCGGGCCCTTGAAGCGAACGTAGAACTCTTGCCTAGGTCAGGGTCGTTAGGATGGAAGTCGTTGGGCGTGGGGTTCGGTCCTTACACTGCAACGTTGTCAGCTGACCCAAAGCCTTGAGTATCTTGGTGAACGGGATGCAAGCCTACTGTTGTCATTCACCAATGTCACTTCGTAGTCACTCATCAACCTGCATCTGTCAGTCCAAGCAAAAGGAGCCGTGGATTCGCGAGCCGCACATCCTAGGCCATGTTAGCAAAACAGCATCATTGTGGCGTGATTTTGGGCTATTCACTTCATGACCTAACAAACAGAAAGAAACGTCAGTGTTCTGGTAGGCTCTTGGACCTGAGAAAGCGGCAGCAAGACAGACTCACATCAGTCTCGATTCTTCTGCGTGGGCTACTCATGATGAGGGTTGCGCGGGGGGTTCGGACGATCGCTGGAAGGCAAGGGCGGGCGGAAGTAGACTGGACAGCTAGTTGGACGTTAAGTTTGGAACAATGTGTCTGTTGAATCGGGTTGCTGCTTGGACTCGGGTGGGTGTGAATTTCTACAAAAATCGCGATCGTGTCGGCTGAATCGAGGGAAAGGAGATGTTGGTTGTTGTAAAGAGGGGAGGAGTCGGATCGGGTTCCTGACGCCAAGTCACGCGCGATGATGATGTGGGCGATCCCGGACCACGGCTGATAAGTGCCACGATAAGGAAGGTGGGCCCGAGGATTAAGCGGATAGATTCAGCGTGGGATCTTGACCCCAACGCTAAGCTATCACCTACGGTATCTATAAATCCACCTTACCTACCTGGGGAAGGTAGACAATGCGAACCTTCTTAGTCGCAAAGACCAACAATACCATGCGGTGCAAGGTAGTGCTGGCGCATGAGAGGCTGGGTATTCCAGCCATTGCTCAGTAGAGTACACGTAACCCGGGCTGTATTTGTAGGCAAGTAGGCGGTGGACTCCAAGCGTCGTCCTCATGGCCAGCAAGGCCCTGGATCAACTTGGCATGAAAGACTGGGTTGATGCAGCCGATGGCGCTCCGGCAAACGGCAACAGCAAGAGTCAGGGCCGTTCCGTGGAAGTTCGCCACCACGAGTACGTTCGGGGCAGGCCTGCAGGGAGAGCCTGCTGATGCAGAGCAAGAATAGGATTGGAGGCGAAAACTGACGACAGGGCAACGTTGTCGCAACGTTGTCACTAAGTTGTAAGAAGACACCGTAATCGCATCCATTTTGAGCTTCGCGTATCGCTTGGGGCATTCCTTCTTTGGGAATGTTTGCTTGCAATGAGCGGTGTCGGCTGGTGCAGTACTGCGATGACCGCGTCCAGCGGCAGGCCAGATAATACGCAGCCAGGGCCTATGCTTATCCCTAAGTAAGGAAAGGTATTCTCGATCATCAGGGCCAAAGGAAAACTTGGGGGCTAGGTGCCAAAACTTAGCTGCTGCCGCCATTGCGGAGGACCGAGACCAGATCCGCCGGGCCCGAGGCTATCTTGCCTCGGTCTTGGCTGAGCGCAACGCATGTACTGTTGAGCAGCACAGCCGTGAAGTACAATACCTAAGGTACGCTGTAGACACCAGCACAGGAGGCCCCGAAGCCCTGGAAGAGCGCGGCATCCGCTCACTAATCCTGCCACCTCATCTCACCTCAAGGACGTGGAGGTAGGCACCTACATCCGAGCAGACGGCACTTTGTCAGTCGTGGGGAGGGGCCGTGCCTCGGCGCACCCAATGGCGGGGGTACGTTGCGGTGGACCGGACCCCGTTTCTGGGGCCTTTCCAGCGTTCCACGGGCGTCCAGCGGCCATGTTGCCCCCACTTTTCTTCCCTTTGAGGCGGCGTGAACGAAACACCACCGGTATTTTTTGGAGATACTCAATTCTACGCAGCAAAAACCATCATGACTTGGATAATAAAACTTGCGCTGCGCCCAAACACCACCGTCGAAAACTCTTCTTCCTCCATGCCATACCGCGAGAACAACCACTGATTTCGCATTGCATCATTTGCATTTTTTTCCGCGCGCAAACATCACGCTTTTGCATCAGCTTGTCCTCGAAGAAAAAGGTACTTGTCATTACACATGTCTTCCCATATTATCCGAAGTACCTGTCTGAGGTCGTGTGCCTCTGCCCTGCGCAGCACGCGACCCTCGTCGGCAACCTTCCATATGCGGCCCGCCTATCCTGCATTGCTGCAACAGCCCCAGCTGAGGTACAGCTCACACTCTCCTATGGGCACGCCTCCAGCAATCCCCAGAAAGAAGGTTACCGTCGCTACACTGCGCAACCTCCACAAGAAGCGTGAGCCCATCACAGTCATGACGGCGCACGACTTCCCCAGCGCCCATGTTGCAGACCATGCTGGCATGGAGATCATCCTCGTCGGTGACAGCCTTGCCATGGTTGCACTTGGCATGGAAGATACTAGCGAGGTTCTGGTTGAAGAGATGTTACTGCATTGTCGTTCTGTCGCAAGAGCCACCAAGTCCGCTTTTACGGTGAGTTGGCCCCTGGATATCAACCACATGAATATCAGACTAATTCCAGCCATAGGTTGGCGATTTGCCTATGGGTAGCTATGAAATTGCCCCTGAACAGGCTCTGGAGACTGCTATCCGCTTCATCAAGGAAGGCAGAGTCCAGGGTGTCAAACTCGAGGGTGGAAAGGAGATGGCCCCCACCATCCGGAAGATCACCAGTGCTGGCATTCCCGTACTTGCTCATGTTGGTTTGACACCACAGCGCCAAAACGCCCTCGGGGGGTTTAGAGTCCAGGGCAAGACTTCGGATGGCGCCATGAAGGTGCTCGAAGACGCACTTGCCGTGCAAGAAGCTGGCGCATTCGCAGTTGTTCTCGAGGCTGTTCCTGCAGAGGTTGCCGCGCTCGTCACAGAGAAGCTGGCCATCCCAACAATCGGCATCGGTGCCGGCAACGGCTGCTCGGGCCAAGTCTTGGTGCAGGTCGACATGACAGGCAACTTCCCTCCCGGCCGTTTCTTGCCCAAGTTTGTTAAGAAGTATGGCGATGTCTGGGGCGAGAGCCTGAAGGCTATCGAAGCCTACCGCGACGACGTGAAGAGCAGACAATACCCTGGCCCCGAACATACTTATCCCATCTCCAAGGAAGAGCTTGAGACGTTTTCCAGTACGCTAGAGAAGTTGTAAAAGGCTGTAACAGTCAGCCGTTGAAGCATTTGCATTGCATCGCGTTTGGGCTGCATTACCGGTGTTAGGGCTCGGTGGCTGAGGCATTTGCCGTCTTTTTTCCCTCAAATATTTGATACCATTTAATAGAATAGTTGTAGTCAGCCAAAGGCTGGGTTCATAGCGTATGAAATCACAAGCTGGCCTGTTGAGTCCTTGAAACACTGCTACGCGATTAACATCAACAGTCCAGGTGTGTGAAGTTGACATGAGCAACGTACATTGTGTAGATTGCCGACGATCTCATCGAGAGAGGGCGCAAAGGAGTCATTGACGTAACAAAAGACATTCTCGGCGTCTCGGAGCTTCAATCGCTTGCGAAGGTACCAGATGACGGTGGAGAAGGTCTGAGTGGAGGATATCTTGGCTACGGCCATAGCGAGAGCGGGAGCGTTTCCCACGGGCTTGAACTTGACAACGACCTTCTCTGAGGCGTACCCGCCAGCACTGGCGAGTGCTGAGGCAACATCCCGCGGCTGAGCCGTCAAAATTGCTGAAGCGGACATGGTGAGCGGTATCTCCGGAGAGGCTGAGCGATCAGGAATTGTGGCCGGGGTTGGTGACGCCGAGTCTGACCTGGGAATACCAGGAGACGCAGGGCTGTCCGCCATTTTCAGTGAACTCGGTGGCGTAATGCGGTGCTTGTATGAACCTTGGGTCTGGGACTTGACAGCGTCCTTGCGTGTCGGACTTTGCTGTAGTCGAGAAAAGCGAGGGGAGTAAGATGTCAGGAAACGGCGATGGACGTTGAAAGAGGCTGGCTGGCTTTTGTCATCGCGTCCATTGCTCAAGGCAAGTCACCCACCACTAGAGTAATTACATGCCTAGACCCTTCAGGTGTGCCCGGGCAGTGTGTGTGGGGCGTCGCCAGGTGCCTTAGGTAAGTAACCCCCTACCTACCTACCTAAGGCAGGTCAGGTCGCTGTAAGGTGACCTGGAAGGTTGGAAGGCCCGGGTAGTCGGTGAAGGGTCAGTGAGCCCAGGAGCCATTGCGGCGTGCTATGCAACGGGCTACCTTACCTTACGAGCCCCGAGCGGACAGCGGGGCCCAGGAGAATATCAATTGTTTAAGATACCTCCGTTATTTGAGCCCCTTTGCACCCAACTTCGACCTGACACAAATCTGGGCTGCTTAATAGGCGAAAAATGTCACCGTCATGACATAACGTTGATGCCGCATCTCGTCGACTCACCGAGTGGCGCTGAAACACGTTCTCTTTCATATCCTCACCGTACTTTCGGCCGTGACAGCTCGCTGCGGTTTAGGTGGAAGATGCCCAAGTCATTGGAGGCGTTCCTGCTTGCTGCCTTACCTTGATTGGCACAGAAGAGAAGAAAACGGCGAGGCAGTGGCCGATGAGACCTGAAGGTAGGTAGGTTAGGGTATGGTAAGGTAGGCACAATGCATGCATGCAGCCACGAGGGTGGCTGCAGGAGTGACATCTTGGACAATGGCCCTTGACTGTTGCTTATTGCCTCAACAAACATCTTTATCACCCTCCTAGCAGTCTCTTCCTCCAAGTAAATTCTCTATTATCTCTACCCGTCGACTCCTGCGCAAACCCTCCCTCGTGAGATACCGCCCTCTAATTTGGTCACGCTCCCTCTATTGAGCTGCTCAGACGAAACACCTAGTCCTCGCACAATACCCTCCATGCTATGGCATCAACACCATCCTCGGAAACCCCGCACGCTGCAGACATGCAGAAGACGTTGAAGACCGTTCACGGTATGACACGAACTGGACCCGAACTGGCATTAGATGGTGAGCATCTCGACATCGCCACAGTCGTTGCCGTTGCCCGTCACGGACTCGTGCCGCGCATAAAGGGCTACCCGCCAACCGAAGCAGACAAAAAGGCCAATGGAGCTTACCGTAACACTGGGAGTTCGGATATCGATCTGCAAATCGCCCAAAGTATCAAAGTTCTCGACCATCACATAGAAAACGGCTGGGTGGTGTATGGCGTGAACACGGGCTTTGGCGGCAGTGCAGACTCTCGAACGGAGCAGCTCAAGAAACTTCAGATATCTTTGCTTCAACATACCCAAAGTGCTGTCATTGCTGCCGCCGATCAAGACGACTCTCGAACCGACAAAGACGAGAAGTCTCACATCATCCCCCTAGCATGGGTGAAGGCAGCCATGGTTATCAGGGCCAACCAAAACCTGCGCGGCCACAGCGCAGTCCGGATAGAGGTCATTGATGCGTTGCTGGAACTTCTCCGTCACGACGTCACGCCTCTAGTTCCTTTAAGAGGAACGATATCGGCATCGGGAGACCTAATGCCTCTCTCATATATCGCCGGGACTCTGATCGGAGACCCCAACATCACGGTAAGAATCGGATCCGGGGTAAGCCGGAAGATCTTGTCCGCCGTTGATGCATTGAAGGAATGCAGCATCAGGCCTGTCGAATTACAACCAAAGGAGGGCCTCGGCTTGATCAACGGGACCGCCCCTTCAGCTGCTCTGGCCACCTTGGTCATTTACGAGGCCAATCAGCTTGCGATTCTCGCCCAAGCCCTCACAGCTTTTACTTCCGAGTGTCTAAGAGGTAATGTCGAGTGGGCAAATGAATTCATCCACAGAATTCGACCCCATGCTGGTCAGTTCGAAACAGCTTGCAACATCAGGCAGTTTTTGAGACATTCTGATTTCGTCATCGGACTAGAGACGAAGAAGAGGTCGGGTCGAGGTCTCTGGCAAGATCGGTACTCTACAAGGACAGCACCGCAGTGGATTGGTCCTTACCTGGAAGACCTGATGCTAGCCCAGCGCCAAATCGAGGTTGAGCTCAACTCGACGTCGGACAACCCAGTAATTGATATCGGTTCTGGATATGATCCTTCTGGCGGAGAGGTCTATTCAGGAGGCAATTTTCAAGCAGTTGCCATCACATCCGCAATGGACAAGACAAGGAACGCACTTCAAATGATTGGTCGAATGCTCTTCTCTCAGTGCTCTGAGCTGATCAACCCGACGACGAATAACGGCCTGGACCCAAATCTTGTCTTTGGTGACCCCGACCAATCTTACACGATGAAGGGGATTGATGTCAACATGAGTGCCTACATGTCGGAACTGGCGTCTCTCGCACACCCAGTATCTGCTCATGTTCATTCGGCCGAGATGCACAACCAAGGTATCAACTCTCTTGCCTTCCTGACAGGTCGACGAACTATGGAGGCTGTGGACGTTCTTTCGCACATGTGCGCTGCTCATCTGTATGTATGCTGTCAAGCGATCGACCTCAGAGACTACCACGAGCGATTTCTCAGCTCTGTTGTCTTGTCCAAACGCCTAGACCGTGCTCGTCTCGGGCTGGACGAATCTCAGCTCACGAAACTTACGAGTGGCCTCGACGAATTGGTAAGGGTTTGGTGGTATGAGGCGAACAAGGCCAGTCATTTGCAGCGTTGCTCAGTCGTGGCCTCCAAATTCGCAGCGCATGCTTTGGATTTCATGGGTAAAGAGAAGATGCACGACGCCTCTCTCAAAGGCATCTTGGACTGCCAAAGGGAATTCCAAGAGAGCATGGAAATGTGGCTTTTAGACCCATCCAATAATCCCAAGGTCAACCATCTGGGGATGAACAACGACAAGACTACAGCACACCTGGACGGACTTGGGGCAGGTTCGGCTGTGCTGTACGACGTTGTGCGCGGAAGACTGGGAGTTTCCTTCCATCAGGGCCTCAGAGCGAAGCAAGAAAGCACGATCGGTGTAAACGTGTCTTTGGTTTACGAAGAGATTCGTCAAGGCTCCGTTACACCTACGCTGATGGGATGCCTCGGTTACAGCGCCGAAGAGGGCCCAGAGAACGAGACGGACACCCCCACCAGCAGTCATGACGGTGTTATAGGAACGCTCCAGATGGGTCGTGGGATCCTAGGAATGGTTACGGAGGTTTCACGGATGCTGTAGATGTCGAGATTCCTCTTCATCAATGTGAAATATGAGTGACTGAGAACGAAACTTTAATATAGCGAGCAACCCTTTCTTCTCTACAATTGACTTGAATGTTTCCGAGCATTAGTGATGCGATGTTGCAAGTATGAGTAGGCTCTCTGGCAGGGGAAAGAAGGCGACTTCAAAATGGTTGAACAGGCCTGTACGTACTTGAAGTGACTCGAAGAAGAAACTGCAGTCAAGAAGAACAATTCATAGAGCATTGTGACGTACAAGGAAGCCATGATCCCACGCACCAAAGGAGCAAAAGGCAAAAAAAAAAAGATTGTCCTCGGAGAGGCTCGAACTCTCGACCTTTGGATATCTCTGCCTATGGCGGAGTCATACTGACTGTAGTATGAGACCAACGCTCTACCGACTGAGCCACGAAGACTTGGTTGAAATTTGGGCATCACTGTTGCCAATATGAAGATTTTTCTGCGCACGGACCCACGTAAAAAGCGCCCTGGCATGCGCCCGGGCATCCATCCGTGCGCCTGTCCATTTTAGGACAGGTGTGGAGGGGCGGCACGGTTCGGTGCGGGGCTTTCTTTCGAGGAACCTACTTTACCTTAGCGTTCGAGACGGGATGTGGTGCTGCTGACTTCAATGTTTACATTGGCCACATACAAGCGGCCTGTAGTATAACATTTATTTTGTATGCTACCTTTGCCCGCTTCGTATCCCCAGCCATTCGATCCAAGCAGCAGCAGACCGAACACTGTTCACATTGTACTTCCCTTCCAACTACGCATAAGCTCGTCTCGAGCGTCTGCTCTCGTTGTGTGCTGCGCATCATCGAGTCAACACCCAAGTGTGAGACTGCCATCGCAGGAGAGGTGTCGCGTGAGCTATGGCTATTTTAGACAGCTGCCCTAGTCAGGCACAAAGCCGAAGAGGATCGTGAATCCAACCGTCGTCGGGCTCTGGTCTGTTCATACACCTGACTGGCGGCGTGTTGGGCCTTATCAACTTCCGGAGCCTTTAGACCAAATGGCAAAGTGACGTGCCTATTTTCATCTCACAACTCTGCCAGATGGACATAGGGGAAATGCTTTCAATTGCTCCAAAACGCCTCTGCCATGGCTGTGCGGCTCACAGCACAACCACAGCAGCCCTTGGCTTCCCAAACCAATAAGTGTTTCGTGTTCAACGTACAGTATACACAATCATAGACTGTTCAATGATATCTACACCATGCTCATTATGACTCGCCTTTGCCTTCTTCATCTGTACTTATCCCGCCTCTGGATGACGACACAATGCCTCCCAGCCTGCCTGCCGAATGAGAAAACTTAGCCGTGGTGGTATAAAATGCTCCATGCCGAACGCCATTGTGCATGCGATGCTTTCAGTGCGGCCCGACCAATTAGAGAAAGACGAAGAGAAAAACATGACCGGAAAGCGCGGGCGACTTCTTTTGGTCAGTCTACTGGTATCATTGGTTCCACGTGTGTGGAACGAATCCGTAGCTTTTGTATGTATGTGTGTGTGTGTGTGTGAATGTGCGTGATGCTTCTGGGATCACAGCGTCGGGAAATCGGGGAATCAAAAACCATGTTTGAGTGAGGCAGAATCGGTTATTATGTGCCATGATGCGAAACGAGTTCGTCGAGTCGACAATTTCTACGAGTCGTCGATCGACACTTCCTCGGCGCGATGCTTGTAGTCGCCATAGCCCTTGGGCATGCGGCCCAGCTGGCCAAGTAGTTCGTCCAATTCGAGCCAGTTGTCGGTGTTTTCTGCAAACTTTCGATGTTTACGTGTGAGAATATGCTGGCATATGATTAGCAAACTTCCTAGACTGCGGAGCACCGCAATCAACTCACCTCG